AGTAGATTTGGACGATTAGCTAATCGCACGAAAACAGGACATGATATGGAAGCGATGAGTCATCTGCGTGCGAAACATGGGAATTCTTCGAATGTGTTTGCACCTACCTCACGCCCGAAACTAAATAGAGTTGTTAATTGTATTAGCAAGTTATATCCTTCGGAAGACCAAGCATGTAACACTGATGGTTTAAAATCCCTTGATGTGTATCCTAGTGAGGGGTCGGTATCTGAAGCAGATAAGGTGGCCTTTTTGAGGAAGGCAAAGAAGAAAAAGGGCAGAAAGTTTAGGCATCAAGACGGATCCGAGTTATGTGATAGTAGAAGCTTCCTAACTGCTCGAAGTGAAAGAAATGATAATTTGGATTCGAGCAAACAGAGGTTAATGGGTGCAGTGAATATGAATAAGGACAAAACAGGTTTGACTATACGGAATAAAGCTTACGTTCGCAACCCTTCGCGTAGGGTAAATTATTTAACTCGACCTAGAGTTGATCCTAGGACAACAAGCGTAAATAGTGACACAGCACTTCATATTGCTGCGCGATCAGGATGTCTGCGGGTTACTGTATCTAGTTCTACGGAGTATCATAATATCGAAGCCGAAGATAATAGCACCTTAGCGCGTCCTGCTGATGCTTGTTTGCAGTCAACTGATGGACGGTCGCATACTAGTCCGAGTAGTCACAGCAACATCGATAGTGTTAGTGTAAGTGGCAGCAGTGGTAGCTTAGCTTTAAAGCCTGCATGCCAACTATCCCGCAACTCGTCACTAACTATGAATAGTCGGAACATCAGTGTGGAGAACGACAACGTCAAGGTTGAGGTGAAACCTCATGTATCTATTAATAGTGCTATAGATGTGAATAATAAACGTGATGGTAACGATAGTGGAATCACTATAGATAGTGATGTTTCTTCGGTTGATGTTGATAATGTAGCTTCTTTGGGTACTTCGGATCAACACGAAATTGGATGTTTGAGCGTGGAGAATGTAGGAGTCGGTGGTAATAACGCCAGCCACAGTGATGGCACTACTGAGAGGGCTAACATTTAGTGCCCTAGGTGCAATGAGGAGTCATCTAGCTTTAATGGACATGCTGTTGTGTTGAATATGCAGCATGAGGAAGCGAGCATGGAATCGTCCACCTGTTGCACTCCACCATCTTTGACTTGTACCACAAGTATCGGGATGAGCACTACCAACAGTGATAAGATAGGTGAGGTTAAGAGCATTACTAGTCAGGAAAGTAATGTTGATCGAGTAGAGTTGGACACTGTGCATGAATCGAATGCATGTCATGAGAAGAGTACTACTACTTCTACAGCTGAGGCTACTAAGGATATTAGTATTGATAATACTCCTGCGGGTAATATTGATCGAGGGAAATCGAGAGACACTCATCGACGTCGAAGTGGGCGTAGATTGCGCTCACATACTAATACCCAAGGTGAGAAGCATAAAAAACGACATGATGCTACAATTATAAAGAAGCCTAAACTTCGTTCTTTTTCGGATACTGTGACTAGCAATGAAGATAGTAGTCATCAGAATCGTGGTAGTGACAGCGATAGTAAAGAGACAGAAAATGTGAGCAATCCATCTATAGTGACTAGTCGATCTACTTCATCGAATGAATCTTGTAGTGTTTTTGACGTCCTCGAACGCTGCCACAAATGTAAAGTTGATTGAAGATGCACAAGGTTGTGCAACTGTAACTGTTCCTACTCCGGTTGACTGTCAGTCAAGTGATGATGAGAAAGAAGTGTCTGATGGTAACAGCCAGTCTACAGTGATGCATGATAACGATGCTATTGATGTGCATATGTCTTGTGTCTCTGAAACGGAACATGAAGAACAACAAGTGAGTTTATCGATTTTGAATTGTGACACTAATGTTGTTCTTTCGTGTAGCGAGATAAGTTATATAACAAAGGAAGAGTTTCACTCTACGGATGCTAGTGTAGCCAGAAACAACGTGACTTGTCTGACAGAACGGAATCGTGTTGACGATGATAATAATCCGGATGTCACTGATGTGACAAATTAGTTGTCGACGATGACGAATGCTGATCAAACCTCTTCTGTACCAGGAGATGTAGAGTTTAATATTGTTCCTATGTTATGCCACTTACAGTCTTCAGGAGACGAGGAAATATCAAAATTGCAGATCCCGCCCTTGCATATCATCTATTTGTCAAGAGCTTCTGTTGATGAGTCAGCATCACTGACTTCATCGAATATGCCGTTCGGAACAAGTGGTGGTGGACTGACGACTCATCTCCATGATGTGGAAGGTAAATCCCGAATAGAATACGACCAGCTTATCGACGTGTTTTACATGTTCATGTGTGTTAATTGGATAATGTTAATACTACCGTTTGGTCATGATACGACAGATAGGGGAATCAAGGACCTGATGGAAAGGTACAGCTTGATAGGTCATATCTATGTTGGAGGGCGGGTAGGCGTAGTGCTGTAAGTCCTACTCGTTCTTCCGGTGTGGATTAGGGGATGAGAGTGAACCCTAAGTTGAAGTGTCAGAAAGGGCTCGTTTTGCACTGAAGCATTTTGCGGGCCGGTGTAGAATCTATTTCGAATGTTTTTTTTTTGGAAAATCCCTCCATGTATATATATTTGCGTTATGATATGACTGACTCTTTCTGTTGATATTTTGGTACTCTATTTGATTCCATTTTGAGATTTTATCATTGTATATTGTTGTTTTTTCTATTTCTTGTACTTATATTGAAGTTTTTATGTTTCCTTCTGAACTGTACATATGGTGTTTAAATTTGATATTTAATATGGCTTCAGCAATATTTGGATTTGATACTCTAGCAGTAACGGACTGGAAGCACTTATTCTTCCAGCAACGGAACCTATTGTGGTAATTAAAAAAACACGAAGGTGTAATATTGTTTCTGGTAATTTTCTGCATTTCCCTTTTTGATTAAAATAGAACCGCTCTATCCCAGAATTAGCGTTTCGGTCCTGGACTGGGTGGGACGCGTATGAACCTACACTTTGCGAGTTAAAAGCGGACTGCAAGAGTAATTACAACTTAATAAGGGCTTAACCAAATTAAATGTAAGCGAACTGGAATATATGTGGAGGCACTACAAGTATATTCTTTACTATGGAATAATACATGTTCTCTATGGCGGGCTCGTAATTGCTGTATCGATGATCATTGTCATTCGCGACTCCATCATCACTACAAACTAAACGAAAATGAATTCCTCAAGAGATGAGGTGATATTATGGTGCGAGCTACTTATCAGTAGTATATGACGTCAGTGTCAACGTAATGTCTGGCAGCAGAAGATGGGGGAAGATCAGGAAAGGAAGAGTTAGGAAACAATGGAATTTGTATGAAATGCATGAATAGTGACAATGGATTGATGTTTTGCAACAGGAACAGTCCAGTTCGATACGATAAACTGATATTTTGCGAATTAACAATTTACGATATGGTTTTCCTATTTGACTGAGTAACTCTGTTGTTTTCGTTAAATACAATTCGGTTGCCCCACCTGTGTTCTCGTTCACAACCATATTACTTTAAAATGAATTCATAACTATCATATCGAACACAATCTTCAGGTTTCTTTTTACTGGAAATTAATCGAAGTTAGGTAAACAGAAATCAACGATAATTTAGGACAGTGGAACGGAAACCTAGAAGAAGAATTCGTCAAATTCTAGACGACAACAGCAGGCAACGAATATGGGGAATCTCGATTCGGTTCCAAGAAGCAAAATACATCGAAACTATAAATAAAAGATGAATTCACATCACAGAATAGGGTGGCGTAATACAGACAAACGAATCAACGTAAGCAGAGGCAATAATAAAAAACTGATTAAATAATTCAACCACACCTAGTTACATGCTAGCTTGCTTACTTACTTCACACTTCACATTTACTAACGATCAAAAATAAGTACTGAACTACTTCCTCAGTTGCTCACTCACTTCCAACTCACTTCGAATTTACTCGGTCACGTACGCCTGTCCAGCTCAGTTGAGTGTAGATCGACAAGCAGCATTGTGAAGTCTGCTCTGTCCTTGCATTGCTTTCACAGTTTAACCTAGTTGCTGTCAATTGTTTGGATATGTGTTTTCTGTTTTCAGCTACATGTGTGTGTCGGTCGAGTGAGAAGAAACTTTCAACACACTCAAAAATATCAGCTTGTCGGTGGAGGTTGAAATGTGTTGTAAGCTCACTGAATCTGTTGGTGATTCCATAGACCATTGCCAATTCACCAAAATATCCAGGTTCCCTTTTATCAAGTCTGTGATCGGATGTTGCAGATTTTAATATGTGTCACATTGTCGGCTGTTGTGAGTTTCCAAATGTTTGCCAACGTCTACAAATTATGTACCGGAATGCGATTCAAACGAAAACATCGATCGCAGTTTGGTGCGGATCAGCATTCGACAATGAACTGTACCGGCATTGTTGATGAAACCTGATCATCACACACGAACACATAGACACAGTTGTTGTCTCAGCAGAAAATCATTCACTCTGGAGTGTAGATTACCGAATCACACTAACATTGTGTGTTCTCGCAAACAGCCATTCTAGATATATACACTTTGTTATTTCCACAGCAAATATTAGTTCTACTACTCGCCACATAATATTACAGAGTGTGAAAATAAACATCACTCCATTTCGTCATGCGAGTGTCATTTGTCTGATCAACCACTAACTAAGCAACAATTTGGTCGATTTTGGTAACAATGATAACACTAGTAATATTTATACTGAGATAACTATGTTACAAGCGGTACGCCTGTTTACAGGCTTGATGAAATCTTCGCAAATCCTTTCACTTTTTCTGTAAATGTTATGGTAGTTAATTTAAGTATAACAGTCAGTTTCTAATAGCTTATTTACAGCATGTTGCGGACAGACACATTTTCAATAGGATAGTACAAACAAGGAAGGTGCACAGTAGGTTTCTTTGGCGGTTTGTTGAAACCAATAGTAAATTTGAGTGGCTAGACCTCCATCGATTAGATAGTACCGAACACCTGGAACCGTACCGAAAGAACAAGAATCGAGCGCGAAGAAATCAAGTTGGTTTACACTAGGTCGTGAAAAAGATATTGGATATTAGATATTGAATTTGTTGGGAAAGGTCAGTTGGAACGCGCTTCATATGAGCTGTGATCAAGATAGTCGTGTACATCAGGTGAATGTTCCTCAGAGGCGCTTATAATTTCCCACCTTGAATAGGGTTCTGAAAAGGGGGAAAAGAGAGAGAGAAAAAGGCAGCAGCGTGGCAAGTGTATAGATATAACCAAAGCACTACCTAACCCGTCATTTTTAGGAAGTCAATACAGTGGTAAGTCAAGATAAAATTCATACTGACCACTAAAATTAAAGTAAATTATGGGAGTATAAGAATACAACCCACAAATGAAATAGTACGGCGAAGAAAAAGGAAGAGTTGTCGAGTGGATGGAAGAGAAGTTGAAGTAAGAAGCTGGATTTATGTACGTTGAAATCGAAATTTCAGTTAGAAGAGTAGAGTTTGTAAAAGGAAAAATTGATGAATAAAAGTTACCACTGTCTAACTGTTTATTCTGTTATTGTTTAATGCCAACTAAGTCATACTGTAAGCGCTTGAGTATGCATGTTGCGGGTGTCTCGACAGATTAGCAACCTCAGCATAGTTTTGGAAACATGAACCACAGAAGTAGCAAGCGTATAAGAGCAACCTCAGCGTTACTGATTAGTCGTCTCATCAATCAAAAGAGTCGAAAGCAAACAAAATGTTCTGCCCCACAAACATGGGTGGTGTGAAGTCATCGCCCACACCATCAATGTTAGCTGGTCAGTAACTCCACCCCTCTTCATTTTGTGCTGTTAGGCTCATGTTAAATGATTGATAAAATTATTTTATGCTCTACTTGGTGCTCTATGTCTCACATCCTGTTGAGAAACACTATTTCTGCAATTTCTTTTCACATACTTGTCTGGCTGTTACAACTTATGAACTATTGGTTAGGCATCAATGCAATACAGTTGACAGTTATGGAGAAATAGTTCGGATTTTCCAACAAGATATCAGCACTTGGAATGTATTGGGGGAGATGTACTTAACTAGCTAAGCAGGAGATATAAAGAGTATCACAGTTAAAAGTGGAGCAATAGATAACACAGTATGACTGATAACTGCCAATATGAAACTCACACAGTTGTAAGTGTTGATAAAGTTGGGCCCAGGAAAGTAGAGTGCGTTCTAATCAACCAGTTTATAGTTGAACAGTGTCGATCGACCCGGTGAGTAGAGTAACCTGTCTATTTCAAATACAAACTAAAGAGATTTATATTCAACTAGAAAATTTTAATGCTACTTAGGAGTGTAAAAATAACTAGATAAGACGTAGCAATGAGTTCATTGTATTTTAAGTGTATGCAGAGCTAATAATATGGAAGCAGAGTGCGAGTGAGTTCACGCGTGCAGAATAGTCAGCGCAACTGAGAGCATCATTAAAAAGTTGAACAAACTCATGTAACCCACTTGCCATGCGTTATTTTGAGCGAAGCGTATTCCATCTAAGTACATACTTAGTGAGGAAGAAGTTTTCTCGAGTTTTGGATCTATACTTCTCAAGTTTGACCGTAGATACTTTATCTCGAAGGTTATGTATACATGAGCCTTGGATAAGGACTAAACAACAAGAGGAGTATGTGAGTTTGTGTAGGAGTTTAAAGTAAAGGATTAGATTGGACTTAAGACTTCTTTCCCGTAATGAATCAAGCCCAAGTTCATGACATCGAGTTGGATAGTCAATGAATGAGCTATGATTTAGGACTTTCCGAGTAAAATTCCTTTGTATTCCTTCAAGCTTCAATATATCAGACAGTCGTAAGTTAGAAAATAAGAAAGAGCAGTATTCAGCAATAGGTCTTACACATGTTTTGTAGAGAATAGTTCTGGATTCTCTATGAAGGAAGTTACGAAAGATGGAATCAAGCATTTTTCTCATTCGGTAAACTTTATTGGAGATATGTTCAGAGAAGTTAAGGCTGTGCGAATAATGAACTCCAAGATCAGTTACGGATGTGAGTTTGGGCAATACATTCCTGTTGAGAGTGAGATCTATTTTGGGATACGTGTCTCCAAAACACATCCAGCCACATTTCTCAGTATTAAGTTCTAAGTTCCATTGGTTACACCAGATATCTACACTATTGAGTTCATGCTGGATTGTGTAAAACAAATTGCCTGAGTCAGATTTGTTAGTTTGATAAATCACTTTTAGGTCGTCCGCATTGAGGTAGGTTATACCAGTGTTGAAACAACTGCATATGCCCATTTTAGTTGAAGTAGCATAGCTCTAGATTTATGAGTGATATAAGCAGTAACTGTATTGAATAATAGTGACTAGAACAAGATGAATGGTGACAAATAATATATGTAATGCATCAGGGAGTTCAAGATTAGAAGCGAATTTACTAGATGAATGAATGAACTGAATGACAACATTTGTTGACCACGTTATCTCACTATCGTGAAAGCAACGATTCTCAACTTGATAGTCTAGAGTGATGCATCGACATGTTGTTAACTAACAAGATAACAACAAATGTAGTGAACGAGAACACAGGTTGGGTAACCGGACTGTATTTCACGAAAATTACAGAGTGATTCAGTAAAATCGGAAAACCATATCGAAAATATTTAATTTGCAAAATACCAGTTCATCATATCGAACTGGATTAATCCTGTTGCAAACCATCAATCAATTGTCTTTATTCATGCGTTTCATACAAATAACAATGTGTTCTAACTCTTCCTTTCGTGATCCTCCCCCATCTTCTGCTGCCAGACATTACGTTGACACTCACGTAATATACTACTTATAAGTAGCTCATACCACACAACTATTGTTTTGAAGATTTTAGTTGAATGGCGGGAACCTGGTGTTGGCACTACTTATCCACTGAATAAATAAAAAAGAAATATTTAGCTGACAGTGAAAATCGTATCACACTTTTATGCAGAAATAGAAATCAGCTAATATTTTGTGATTTTTCACATTGACCTGATAACCTTGTCACATTGTTGGTTGACATTTTCTGCTGATTTCTCTTGATTCAACTGCCAGAGATTTGTCTCTTCTCACCTGCTTGCCAAATAATAACTACCTATTTTCTGCTGTACAAACCTACTTGCTTGATCTTCACCTTATCACTTACAAAGGAAATTCCTTACATAATTCAGGCACGCCTAGTTACATGCTAGCTTGCTTACTTACTTCTCACTTACTTCACATTTACTAACGATCAAAAATAAGTACTGAACTACTTTCTCAGTTGCTCTCTCAACTCCATACAGACATTTGTATTGAAAATCCTGATTTTGGTGTTGATTGATATTTGTTCGGAGTTCCAGATATTTTTCAATTGTAAAAATGCACGCCTTGCTTTGCCGATCCGCGCTCTCACATCTGCATCGGATCCACCTTGGTTGTCGATGATGCTGCCAAGATATGTGAAGGTGTCAACGTGCTCCAAAGAATCTCCATCAAGCGTGATTTGGTTGGCGCATGTCGTGTTGTATCGTAGAATCTTACTTTTCCCTTTGTGTATGTTGAGACCTACTGCTGCAGAGGCTGCTGCTACACTGGTCGTCTTCTCTTGCATTTGTTGTTGCATGTGATAAAGATGAGCCAGATCATCTGCGAAGTCCAGATCGTCCAGCTGCGTCCTAACTGTCCAGTTGATACCGTGCTTCCCTCCAGATGTCGACGTCTTCATAATCCAGTCGATCACCAGGATAAAGAGTAAGAGTGAGAGTAAGCAACCTTGCCTGACACCTGTCCTCACCTGAAACGAGTCTGTTAGCTGTCCTCCATGCACGATTTTGCAGTTTAACCCATCGTAAGTATTCCCTATGATGTTGACTATATTCTCAGGCAGGCCGTAGTGTCGAAGAAGCCTGCAAAGTGTTTTCCCGTCCCGCTATCGAATGCTTTCTCGTAGTCGGTGAAGTTGATGTAGAGTGGTGAGTTCCATTCAATTGATTGTTCCACAATGATCCGTAGTGTTGCAATTTGTTCGGTACATGATCGATCCTTACGAAATCCAGCCTGTTGGTCTCGAAGTTGGGCGTCTACGAAGTCCTTCATTCTGTTTAACAATACCTTGTTGATGAATTTGCCTGGTATTGAGAGAAGAGTGATGCCTCTGTAGTTGTCACACTTGCTGAGATCGCCTTCGTTTGGTATTTTGATCAAGTATTCTTCTTTCCAATCTGATGGTACTTGTTCCTCATCCCAAATCATCTTGAAGAATATGTGAAATATATTTTCAGTTGCTTCCACGTCTGCTTTCATTGCCTCTGGTGGAATGTTGTCTGGTCCTGCTGCTTTTCCGCTTTTGATTTGTCTGATGGACGTCTGATCTCTCCAATTGTTGCTGGCCATCATCGATTGGGAGGTCCGTAGATGCTGCTTCGATGTTGGGTGGGTTCAGTAGAGCTGGTCGATTCAAGAGTTCCTAAAGTTCTCTGCCCGCCTTTTTCGCTGTTCTTCAGTATTGCTGAATACTTTGCCTTCCTCTCTTTTCACAGGTCGTTCCGGTTTATGATGGTTTCCAGCGAAATTCTTTGTTGTATCGTACAATTGTCTCATGTTTCCTTCTCTTGCAGCCTTTTCTGCCGTCGTTGCTAGAGCATCCACATATTTCCGTTTGTCGACTGTGATGCTCTTTTTCACTTTCCTGTTTGCTTCTGTGTATTCAGCTTGTGCCTTAACTTTCTCTGCTCTTGTTCGACAGAGATTGATTGCTGCCCTCTTGCTACTCCTTTCTTCAGTGTTGTCAAGAGTACCAAAAGAGATCCATTCCTTGTGATGGTGTTTCTTGTGACCCAGAACCTCCTGACATGTTGAAGTGATTGCCTCCTTCATCCCTTTCCAATTTTTCTCTAAGGTTGTTTCCTCTCCATAGCTCTGGTTGTGCGAGTGTCATTTCTCTGATCAACCACTAACTAAGCAACAATTTGGTAGGATGTTGTTCAGGAAGCGAATTCACTGGGTGAATGAATGAACTGAATGACAACATTTGTTGACCACGTTATCTCACTGTCGTGAAAACAACGATTCTCAACTTGATAGTCTAGAGTGATGCATCGACATGTTGTTAACTAACAAGATAACAAAAACTATTGTTGTGAAGATTTTAGTTGAATGGCGGGAACCTAGTGTTGGCACTACTTATCCACTGAATAAATAAAAAAGAAATATTTAGCTGACAGTGAAAATCGTACCATACTTTTATGCAGAAATAGAAATCAGCTAATATTTTGTGATTTTTCACATTGACCTGATAACCTTGTCACATTGTTGGTTGACATTTTCTGCTGATTTCTCTTGATTCAACTGCCAGAGATTTGTCTCTTCTCACCTGCTTGCTTTCTGATAACATTAACCTTGTCCTATTTCTTTTAGTCAAATTTTTTCCGTCTCATTTTTTTTCTAATCTTTTGTTGATTTTGTGTCTATGTTCATCATTTTGTCTGTTTCTCTTTTCTTCTAACCATTCATGTGTGATTTCCCCCCTGCAT